AATAAATAAATAAATAAATAAATAAATAAATTGGTCGAACGATTGTGGACAAATGGTCGCGCGAATGGAAAGAAAAGAAAGAAACGCTGATCCTAATTATAGGGCGAAATATATACGAAATATATCGTTTGATGGCATTTCTTTTTTTCTACGTTGCTTTTCATCTCTAATTGGATCAGCGCTTAATAAAAAAAAAACAAGAGTCTACGATCGCTCGTACCAGTTATAAGTCGTCTGTGTTTATAAGTACCAGCAATAAAATGCGCACTCTCTCCATAAAAGGATAGAACTAAACAATAAGAATCGTCGGCTCGTATCGCGTCAGATCACCTGGGGACTATACTGTACACTCTCGAACTAAGCATAATTATAAAATAATGGTAGATTATAAGAGGTAGGTTGTAAGGCTGAACCACGTATACGTATGTGCTGCGGCACCAGACGACTGTGATAACTCGGTGGGCGGTGCCCAGCCTCCTACTTCATACTTGTATACTGAAAAATTATGGAACACTTCGAAAACACGTATACACGTACACGTACAGGCGATACAAAAGCCAGAAATTAAACACACAAGTAGATACATTTACCAGAGAGGATATGTATATGTTAGAGCTTGCATTGAGAGAACTTAGTGCTTTGGTCCGTAGACTTGCTTGGATTGTTACTTTTTTGGCCATTTTTGTGAGTTGTCAGCTTGCGATCTTGCGGTTCTTGAGTTCTTGAGTATGCTTCTTAATTTGGGTTGTTGGACGTATTCGAGGATCAACGAGTTGTTTGAAAACGAGTATTTGGTATCTTTTGTAAATGTAAAGGGAAATAAGTCGATACAGTAGACATAGATTTACTATAATTATATATACTATACAGGCATACACCTACTATAATTGTTTAAGATTAAAATATGAATACAAATATAAAGTATGAGAAAAATTCAAAACGTATGAACATTTTCCATCCTTCCAGGTGCATGAGGAGACGGACCTCCCAAGTAAATCTCTAATGTTGCATTAGTGATTGAAGTGCAAGCTCTAAAATATTTGAGAAGATAGGAATGGACCGAAAAATTGTGATGATAATTAAGATTAAGTTTCATGCTTCGACTGCCTGAGTTCGTTGAATTAGTTTGTTTGTCTTCCAATAGATCTTTATAATTACTATAATTACTAAAAACAATGTATATTTCACATGTTATATTTCGCATATTGTTTCATTATTGTATTGTATCGTTAATATGTCGTGTATTATTAGGATAAAGTTTTTCTTTAAACTTTTCTTCTGTTGTATACATGCATTGATCTGTATTGTTCTGCTGTTAATATGATGCAAAAAAAAAAAAAAGTAGGACTATTCAATTATATTACTTACTTGTATTTTGCATTTGTGGAACAAACAACTTAGTCAAACTTTAGGATTTCTACTTTCTTAATTTGTGTCTGTGTTGTAATTTCGTATTCTGTTTATTTCTATTTTATAAAATTTCGTTACGTTTCGTTACGTTTCTTCAATACAAGTGTCTCTGTAAGAAATACATTTTAGTTTATGTATCTCACAAATATTCAAGAAGTTTAAAAAAGCTATTCTATACCTTCTCGAATATGCTTAAACGTACATTAACAAATGTTTTTACAACATTACAAAACTGATGCATGTATATGATAATATGAGACTAAAGGACTTTCGCAGGTCCATTCCTAACTTGAAAGTTTAAGTCGTAAATTAAACGTATTACATACATACTAAAAAAGAAATCATAAGTAAACAACATAAATATTTCTCGTGTACATCAAGGTCCTGTTAAATAAGTTGTTTATTGATAATAAACGCCATCACGCTTGCAATACGTGTTTCTAATTTTTATCGTTACCTTAAGATATTCATTTTTCAGTAAATGATTTTACATGTAAAATGATATGAAAGATTAACTTACTGATTTAAGTATAAAAGCTTTTAATGGGAAAAAATGTATGTTAATGAAGTAAGATTGAGCAGAATTTAAGTGTTTCTTGTTACCATACAAAACTATTTTTTATTATCAATAAGAACATGTAACTCATATTCATCATTTAACGAAACATCAATTATATTGTTCGTCACACTCGTATATATTTAAAAAAATATGAAATTGCAAGTAGCCACAGATAATTATTTATAAAAGCTTCTAAATTATAAGGAGGAGTCAAAGAATTTAGTAAATAATATCTCTTTTTGTAATGTATTTACACTGTCCTTACAAAATGCAATTAATAGGTATACATATTTACAAATATTTTGGCTAGAATTTTCCTACAACAATTTCGTTCTGACTTCTGAAGACAGAAGAATCCTTCGATTCAATTATTTTGTTACTTCCCTACATCAAGTAATCTAGATTTCTTAAATTACGAATAAAAATATTAAAGTTAGAGAATAAATATTGCAAACACGCGAAATACATGCTGAAAACATGAAATAACCAATACGTAATCTTAGTTTCCTTTTTAATCGAAATAAATCCTTTATTGCAATTAAAAATTTTTCTATCAAACGAATTTTCAAGATTCTTATTGTAAAAATTGGCAAAGAAATTCGTTTACATCATGTATACTATATTATTATCGCATTTAAGTATTTCATAGAATTTACTTTAGGTCATGAGCAAGAATCGCGTTGAACGAATTAAATATCCTGCACTAACGTCAATTCATTTCCAATATGGGATAACTATAATAAATAAACGGAGAAATATAAAATTACAATTGCTAAAATTAATACCTAATAAAAATGATCTAATTAACGATTGAGTGTAACACAAATCAAATACATGCATGACATTTACAAACGTTCAAATGTTCATGAAAAAAAATGGCCATGGAATTAAATAACCTTTGAAAGTACTATGTCGATCATACTAGCTGTAAATATTAGTGTGTAATTATACATATATAAATAAAATACGTATATACGTGTATACGTTTAAATGTTGCGTACAAAAAGATTCCAGTGAAATCAAACATTCAACAGCTTTTTTAGTGCTAGTATACCCTGATTATGTCGAGATGCAGACGTAATACTCTCGCGTCAAATTTCGATGGAATTTAAAAAAAAAAAAATTCCATCGACTCATTGAATACATAACACCCATTTATAAAAATGTATATGCTCGAATGTATATGTATAAGTATATAATTATCGATTCATATATAGTATAATGTATAATTATCGATAATATCAAAGAAAGGGACGTGACAAATTAAATGAACGCGCACGATCGTTCCCATTATACTAACAACAGGTGCAAAAGTTTGATTAAATAGTCATCGTAACGTCACGGTAACGTCGGAATTAAATGTCGGTGGAATTTCGTAATATATTTCAACACTGAGGTATAAAAATTGTCCGAGAGCGTACCACACATACATTCAAAGGCTAGTTACTGGAACATCCTCGTCCTCTTGATGATCCAACCTAGCCATTGATATGTGGTCCGCAGCGTATCCCTAGCAGTTTATCGCTCTTCTAAAACAAATTTCTTTAATATTTAACGTAGTAACTGACTAAATTAATACAACGGGCTTTCTACATTTGAAGTTACATTAAATTACCTCGAATTAAACAATATATCAGCTCGGGAATTAATGAACCATACGAGAATGAATGATACGCCAGCCACTGAACTTCCTAAAATCATGGTGAGCCATTCTGTAGCTGCTGAAGGTTTCAGGAACATCCTTACGCTTAACGTTTGCCATATAGATTCTGTCCACGTTGAATACATTCCCGACTTCATGTCGTATCCTAAGAACCAAGGCGTAGAAACGCTTGTAATTGTTTCGGAACATCCGTCCGATGAACTTATCAATCGACAAAATTACCGTCAATAATAAATGCTGGACTCATGGCCGTGCTGTAATTTACAGTCGAGTTTATACATAAACCTGTATTATTAATACCAGCCATCCAAATAAGATGATTTTCATAACACGCCGCTTCTGTCATATTTGAAACTTCCTCTCTAGTCAGAAATGCAAGAAGTTGTCCAGTCAGTGTTGTGGCAGTATTTGGCACCCTATGCACGCCAACGTATAATGACAAAACTTGATTCATTAATTTGGCGTTTGGAGATGAAGCAGCTTGAAACAAGGTGCATTTAGCAGTCTCTAAGTAACATTTCAACATTTCCGAGACGTAGAATTCAACAAAATGAGAAGAATCGTAATCAACAAAAGGCCGAGCGCCGAATACGTCTTCATAAAGGATTTCGGCGACGTTAATTGCTATCTTTGCCAAGGCAGTTGCAAGCCCATCGCTCCTAAAAAGAACATATTTTATAATTAAAATCTGAAACAGGATCTCCCCATATAAAAGCACAACATTAAAATAGCTGAGTACTTGTTGAAGTTAAGGCTTTCCGCATCGTCCAGAATTCCATTGTAATATTTGTTTTTAAATTGTTGGCCATGATCACTTATAACAACAGCAGTCAAATTTGGCCTTTCTTCTAAGAAACTCTGTATAGACGTTGGAGGTATACTGCCTTTCAAAATTTTAGCATTCAACGCTACTTGTATCTTTTTTATTACTTCGTCGTTCTCGGCATTATTAGAATGAAGAAACAATTCTCCTTCAGTCAGCTGACCAAATTCGATCACACTTTTAATATCATCAAATTTTAAATTTACACCACCTAATGCATTGAAGTTACCTTCTTTCAAATCATAAATGAATCTACTAGATCCTATATAATCAAAAGCTTCGCCGTTTAATAAACAGAAAACAACGTTAGTTTCTGAAAAAAAGAAAGATACGCGGAGCGATTAAAAATACTTGTACATGCATACATTGCACATATATATAATGCATTGTAACACTTACTATTCACTACAGCATCTTTAGCTAACGTATTCAGATAATAAGCTGTGGCAAGTAATGTCACTAATCCTGTAACTACATTGCCTGCTCCAGGTGATATTCCATCAAACAAAGAAGAAGCATCCAATCGAGCTGTTACTAATATTACAGAATTTTTATCTTGATTTATAGGAGCTAAAGGCCAATATATATTCCTATCGCCCAAAGGATCACAGAATTGTGTTGGATTGAAGTTCAGTTTAAAATCACTACGTTTAATGCAAGATTCAGAATTAATTGCGGCAAACATGAACGATTTCATTTCTAATGCACACAGTGGTCTATACTGTTGATTCTCTATATCATGCACGTTGTGTTTTAAAAAACAGGATCTTACAGCTTCTATCAATGTTTGATTCTGAAATGAAAAATTGATCAGTTTTGCAACACATAATTGCGAATGATAAAATATAGGAATCTGAAGAATGAACTAATTACATAATAATCTAAAGACAACCTCTGTATAAAACATGGGGAAAGGCCAATCTTCCATAAGCAACGAGGATCCATGAGGATTCCATTCCACATGAAGATCATTGCACTGTTTGTATCCTGAATATCTGTTAGGACAAGTATCTTCAGGAGAATAAAATTCAGGAAGTGGTTGACTAGTATTTTTAGCCAATAAAACTCCATTTATGTTATTCGTATTCTTCAACCGAAGTAGTATGTCTCTAGTAAACATGGAAAATGTAAGAACCACGGTGTAATCTCCAGCGGTAATATTGTGTTCAAGCCATCTGATGTCATTTTCATCTTCAACTAAATGAATAACACCAACACTTCCTGATCTACTTGCTACAACACATAACACAATTCATCTTTATCTCATTAGTCATAAATTCAATTGAAATATTAAGAAAAAATTGTTATAAATTATTAAACAAAAACATTGACAAACGGATATCGATTACACAATGTAACGTATAATAATCTTACAGGAACATCCAAATTGGTGTGTTCCATTGTGTCTACGAAAACAGGCAGCAACTCCTTCAAAGTTCATATAAATCATATCTTTTATTCGTTCTGCAGCCACTAAAAGAAACAAGTATATACTTATTAAATCCTTGCAAACGTGTTCTAAACAAATTCGGTTCGTTTGCCAAACTTCGCTTTGAGTCAAGAGTTTTATAATTTTGTAGTTTATTAAATTACAAGTTGAAATGAAACCTCAGTAGTTAATCTTTTGTCTATTATGTAGATATTCTGGAAGTAAAGTTCTTTTTTTTTTTTCTTTGTCTTACCTAGATTTATCACGAGAAATATTAAAAAGTACTCGCAACCCAAACATTTTGCCATTTTTTCCTTCGTGGTGGCACCTGTCAATCCTTCGTTTTATTTTCTTTGACCACCACTACGGATCCTTTCCGCAAAGGTTAGACACGATGACACAGATGCATCGCGTGAATCAGAAAATAATTGAGCGTTTCATATTTCGCTTGGTCGTACCTACTAGCGCCATCATGCTGTAATTTGATTATTAGAAGTTGTCTTCTGGATCGCGATGGTAAGTCAGTATCGGTGAAAAATAAAAATTTGTTCCAAATAATTGATAAATTAATATAACTAAAATGTGTTTCATTATGTTTTAGAACGGTTGCAATCAAATATATCGGTACTTAAAGAAAATGTAAGAGGAAAATTTATTGAATTATGTGTGTCAGCATTCAACAAACAAGTGAAGTCGAAATGAAATTTTGATAAACTTTTAAGATCCAGCTGAACAAAGTAACTGAAATATTTATAAAAAAAAAAAAGAACGAAAAAAGAAGTGGAAATTGATTGAATTAAAGTGCCCACCCATAAATATTACGTTCCTGAGCATTAGTTCATTAGTCATTCTTACTCGTTCCAATTCGTCATCTCGTTGTCAGTATTATTTCGTCATGTGTGTTAATAAGTAAAAACTCTTCTCCCTTCTTTCTCCTTTGTACGTAATCTTTAAAAAAAAATTTTTTTTTTGTTAGTGACTGTATCTTTGCGTTTGAAGCAGTATCACGTTTTCTAGATAACTGATAATTCATTAATAAGACGTCATCGTAGTACATAAGTTAAAACTATGACGCGCAATATTAATCAAATGTGAATAAATACACCATAATACACACGTCGTTGTATCGATCGCGCAATTTGTAATTATCAATGGCAAATATAAAATTAGTAACTTTTTTTGTTTTTTTACAAAACTCTTTCGATACACGCAGTTTATTTATCGAGTAAATTTGATAAAGCCATTTTGTTGTTTACAGGGTATTTAAAATAATGTTAACTTTTTGAGAAGAGACGCAACAGAGAGAAGAAGAGAGTATAATTCATATAAATTACAAAGGTAAACAATTATTTTTTTATAAGATAGCTCAATTTCGGATCAGAGAGATTAAGCAAGATAACATACATTTTTTTTTTAATAATAATAAAAAGTAGCACTATAGTATATAATAAAATATTTAAAAAACATCCAAATGGATCATTTTTGGATCGATTAATTTATCACGTTAATTAAATTCTTACTCTCAATTCTGGGAATTTGTTCCTCTCAATTCCCAACTTCTTCAAGGGGCCTTCAAAGGGAGGCCCCTTTTGAATTTATCGTAAAAATCACCGCAAAAACGTGACCTGTCCTCTACGTTTTCTACAAACGTAATTTGTGTCATTCGTAATCCCTGAGTTCCCGAAATTGACGTTGACATTGGGGTTTTCTTTAAAACGCGGGGAAAACAACACGCATCGAGATGATGACGCATGTCGCGTGAACAGTAGAATAGCCATGGGCGAATCGCCTGTGAAGCACATACACAGGTATCAATAGGCAGTGTCCACGTGAGCCGTGAAACACGTGTGTCAGCTGTCTTTCGCAGTGGAACGGTGTCTCTCGCGCCAGAAACACTGCGGCGAATACAGTGTCGAGTCGGGACCGGTTCTTCGGAGAGATTGTTCGACGAAAAATAATCGCCAAAACGAGAAAAAAAAGAGAGAGAAAGAGAAAGAGAGATCTTTCGTGCAACGATCTTTAAGACGTGTGTTTTATAGAGTTACCAGTTGCGTAGTGCACGAGATTTTCCAAACGAGAAACGAAGTAAACACATAGAGAAATATTAGTATTTGGAAACGTCGCGTTATTAAGAGTGTGTGTTGTTCTGCTTCTACGTATCAAAAAGAAAAAGTATCTGCGTAGGTGTGATCAGTAATTCGGTCGGTTGTATAGGGGGAAACGATTAGCATGATATTTGAAATTCCACGACTAGGGTTCGCTGCGTAACGTTTCCGTGGCAAGGAAAGTTGTAACATCGATGTAGAATAGCTGTCGATGTTCTCTCGCAAGAATGGTTTTTTTTTGATTGGAAACGGCGAAAAGTTATGATTTTGATTCATTAACCGATCACTTCAAACTAACTTTTTGGAACGAGCCTTCACTCTGTTGTACATGTATCAGTGAATCATGAACGTTTTTGAACATTTTTATGCGAATTGTATCATAATGTGTCTAGGCTTCTTAATGTGATTGATGATTGACTATTTAAATACTTTTGTATATTTTTCACTGATAAGTATCTCTCTTCTTATATAAGTAGATCAGAGTTGTTCATGCTGAGTGTCAATTTTTTATTTTACTCTAATATGAATGATTTGTAACAAGTTCTGTACAAGTTACAAATCATTCACTTGTAACTTCTGTAAACAACATTTTTAGATTAGTGTCAAGTACAAGTAATGTATTTCTAATGTCAGATGTTTATAATTTCATAGAAAAATATCTCGCTTGATATAATTGGTTGAATAAAGCGGTGTCCGTGGTCAGTTAACGAAGCATCAGTTTAGTGTAACAAAATATTGTTTTATTTGGAAGAATGAATTGTGTTGCTCCACTATGGTATGATTATAATGTGCTAATGGTACGCGGTTTGTTCCAGGCAACAATTTGAACGACAGGCAACCGAATCGAATGCTGGCGGCGAGTTACTGCGAAAGTAAATGGGTTTCGCTTCCAAAGAACACGATTCTCCTCCGCAAAGAAATTTCGTTCCATCCGTCAGTTTGTGTCCGGCGATTCGCGCTCACTCGCAGATCACTGTCCTTGAGGAACGTAAAATTCAGTCACAACCGGGATAATAGGTAATGATTTCTGTTCTTTAGTCTTCAACTTGCGTCGTTCCAAATCTCCTAATGCATGCGCTCGTTGCGTTTGTACGTATGTACAACGACTACCAAATATATCGATACATACTACATTCAAGTATAGTGAATTTCACATCATTTTTATGGTGTATTCGTGCGACTGTAAAAAAATTTGATTATTATGAAGATGATTTTAATTTAGATTGATACGTTGAAAATGAATCTGATAAAAAGAAATGTGTTAGTATTTTTCATTGTAATGTTTTAATGTTATAATTTTATTTTTACGTATCGCGATAAAAATAGAGTATTTATATTGATATTAAATAACAATATTAAATATATTAATAAATTCGTCGAATAATACACTTCAAATGGGGCAATATAGAATTATAAATAATACACTTTAAATGGGACAACGTTAGAGTTACGTTTGCACAGAACGATAAACCGTTTAGTATAATGTCGTCTGTCATTAATGTTCGTTCACGGCTTACCTTAAATTTAACGCTGTTAAATTTACGTGCCGTGTCAATTACAACAAATGCGTCGATTTTACAAATAAATTTGCTAAAAGTAGATTGGTTGAAATCCTAAAGTTTTCGGAATTTATTATTTTT